GGGTCCTCCTCTACAGTGTTCTCTAAACAGCTTATCAAGTACAGTGTTGTGAGGGCTGCAGCCAATCCCACAGTGGGTGAATTTAAAAAACTTTACAATGCAACATATTAGGTCAGAACAAACAGTAATTTCATCTAAAAGTCTAATAGGGAATACTGTGATTATGCTCTACCTGGTAGGAGATGGTAGTGTTGGGTAGATCCACACTAGCAATGAGCCAGCTGTCAGAGGTTCGATTGGCAGTCCAAAGCCGGTAGTCAAAGTTGTCACTGTCTGGCCTGAGGTGGAGATGCAGGGAACCTAGCCCAGTGATCTGATACACCAGCCTCACACAGGCCCAATCCTGCTGGTCAAGAACTGGACTGACGAGAACTGCCTGCTCCTGGTCATGTAAGAAAGCTGAGTCCACTGTTATCAAATGCCCTGTAACAAAAAAAAAATGAAGATATCAAACACATGCACTGTACATATGAATATTATGAAGGCTCACCCACAGACTCACATTACAACCCCCCCACTAAATAATAGTAAATGATGTGAATTAACCATACCAACAAAACTCCACATATTGTGCATTGCATGAGACTAATAGACATTCTGTCTGTCTTACCTATGTAGATGACACCTTTTCAGTTGAGCAAAGGAATACAAAACAATGGATGTTGTGACATATATGCCGATTCCCTAACTATAAGAAAGTTATGGTCATGTTCATCTGTGATCAGCTGTTTGCAACTAGTGATGTAACCAGAACATTTTTTCCTCAAATTGCAGATCATCTATCATTCAGCTGTCATCTCTGTTACTGCATCACAGAGTTCACCAGGGGATGCCAACAGAGAGGAGAGACAACACACACACCAGCACACTGCCTGAAACACAGTTATAGTAAGGCTGACTTCTGGGCAGTTTACCTGACTGTATTTTTGTTGTAATGTTAATTACATTTTTTTTTCTTTTTCCTTAAACATTTAGAGCTCATCAGCGCATCAAGGTGAGGGGCTGGATTTCTCTTGGACAGGTCACCTGTCTGTCACAGGACTGACAAACAGTATAGCTAATGTAAAATGTACTGTTATTCTAGATGGTACCACAAAATTTGTTTGGCCACTCTGAAATGCCAGCAAATGTCAGAACATTTTTTTTAAATTAAATAAAGAAGGGAAGAGAATAATGTATATTGGCCAAAGTCATTTCTCAGAGTAATTTCCAGTGGTAAAGCTCTGAATTTGCCGGTCAGTCTATGCTCCAACCCTCACCTATGGTGACAAGCTGTGGGGAGTGACCAAATGAATAAGATCACGACTACAAACAAGGTCAAAATGAGTTTCCTTCACAGGGTGGGCAGTCTTAGACTTAGGGTGTGGATTTCAAACACGTTGAAAGGAGCCAGTTGAGGTGGTTTGGCCACTTTATCAGGATGCCTCCAGGGCACCTCCCTTTGGAGGTTTTCTAAGTAATCACAGGATAGTCACCTATATTTGGCCAAGAATGTTACACACAAGGAATTTGTTTGCAGTACACTCACACCGATGGCTCTAACCATCGTGGTCAACTTTGGGGTTCAGTGTCCCGCCCAAGGATACTTCAAAATGTACCTCGAACCTCTGACCCTTCGGTTGGGAGATGACTGCTCTACCCACTGAACCACAGTCACCCCACCTGTCAGTGGATCACCAGCTTTCTGACAGACAGGAAGCAGCAGGTGAGGCTGGGGAATGGTAAATGGTAAATGGACTGTATTTATATAGTGCATTTTTCACAGTGTGTTGCACTGGCCAAAGTACTTTACAGGAGATCATACACCATTCACCCATTCACACACCGATGACAACAAGGCTGCCACACAATGGCGCTAGTCAGGCCACCGGGAGCAATTCAGGGTTCAGTGTGTTGCTCAGGGACACTTAGGCATGCGGAGAGACCAGGAGTCAAACCACCAACTTCCTGGTCAGAAGACGACTGCCCTACCTCAGGAGCCACAGCCAGTTCCAGCACCCAGACTATCAAAACATGTACCCCCCAGGGATGTGCGCTCTTCCCGCTATTGTTTTCCATCTATACCAACAACTGCACCTCAGAAGACCGTTCTGTTAAACTCCTGAAGTTTGCAGATGGCACAGCGGTCATTGGTCTCATCCATGACAGTGATGGGTCTGCGTACAGACAGTTGAACAGCTGACCCTGTGGTGAAGATGACAGTGGACATCAGAAGGATTTACGCGCTCCCAAACTTGAAATTCTGAGAGAGGGTTGTCAAATAATTTTGTCCAAACAGAGGGCTGTGCTGCTATAAAGGCTAAAAAGCACTGTATTACAGTATGTTATGTAGCAGGCTACAAACTTCCAGTCAGTTACACATTGTATTCAATAGGAATAATGACCGTCCTCTGTTTATTACAAAGCTTTTGAATTTGCAAAGCCTCCTGTTACAGTATATTTTATTTAATCACAATCAGAAGGTAAATCTCATGGGAAACATTGTCTACAGTTTTTCTTATGATAATTAGAAATTACCATTAATACTTGGCATTGGCAAGTACTCAAATGTAAATACTTGTACTTGTAGTCTGAAAAAAATTGGTATCAGTGACTGCCCAGTACAAACTGGAGTAGGTCCAGGTTTGAAACAAAGCTATACTGTCAGGTCCGCTCGGCGCGACCTGCCTCTCTTCCACCTTTCTCTCCTCTGTTCTCTCGAACTGCGGAATCTGCACCTCGGCTGTGTTGCATTTGGTAATTAGCGACTTGTTTGTCAGTGCACACAGCTGGGGTGCATCCCGATGATTACCTTCCTCCTTATTTATACCTCTGGCAGACGCTCCGTCGTCGCCGAAGCATTAATAGAACTTAAACTAAAATACCTGTATTGATGGTATGTGTGATATGTCATTTTGATTTCCACGCTGACAGTTTCTGTGCTATGGATTTCATTTTGTACGTTGGTTATATGTTGTTTTGTGTTATACGTTTATAGAAGTCCACGCTGACAGTTCCTGTGCTGTGGATCTCTTTGTATGTTTTGTTTCCATGAGTTTAGCGATGCGTAAGTAGATTTCAACACTGACAGTTCCTGTGCTGTGGATTTCTTTTGTCGTTCGCCACTCTCTTATTTTTCACCTGTCCGTCCTCATCCGCCTACTCTCCTGGTTCCTGCCGTTACCCTGTCTACTCCCCTGGTCATCCTGGTCTCCTTAGCCGTCTTTGCCCAGCCCTGGTTGTATGTGTTCATTGACTCTGTTCTGTTTTGTAATCCCCACCAATAAACCACCTGTTTTTTTACTAGCACCTGGGTCAGCACTCTTGAGTCCTACCTCAGTTCTCCCTCACCCTCCTGGTGAGGGGGACTAAACCATAACATATACAGGTAATAGACAAAGCTATTTTCACCTACAGGCAAATTAAAAGACAAAATGAGACAGCAGTCAGAGAGTGCATAACTCTACCAAGGGGCAAGTCCCTTTATTTTCATGATAGCTTGACCCTCATAATATGACTGCTTGACCATGAAAACCTACTGCTGGGATTTGCAATGACGTTGATATCATTATTAGCTTGAAAATTATTCAAGAAAAATGACAGACATTCACTTAATGGTTTAGGGGTAAAACTGGGACTTCAGTGAGTAGATCCTGGGCAAAGCAGTGAAGACTTCACATTTATGCAAGTCTGTGTACTGTTTGTTCAACAGCTGTTGGATAAAACTGCTCATACAGTCTCTTTTACTGGCTGACTGTTGCACTATGGAGTGATCCTCCATGTCCTGTGCTCCCTCTGTTCAGCTGTGAGTGTGTCTCCTCTAAACAGGGATCAACATGGAAAAATACAGTGGAAAAGCAAAGTAGGGCAAACTGGGCGAGCTGTGGCAGAGCTGTTCGCTGCTCACAAGAACAGGCAGTGCACTCTCTGGTTCTCAATGAGCGCCCAAGACAAGCCTCCACTAGGGGTGGTCACCTTCACTCATCACCACTGGCTGGGGGG